TCTTCCGATCTAACTCTGTGGGAGTTGGTCGCACGAAGAGGTGGTCCTTCTTCAACCCTTATGCTGGCGCAACGGCTCGCCCAAATGTACCCACAGACTTTTATGCAGCTACAATTTGCAACACAAATATGACACGTAGCAGAAAAAGGATCAGTCGTAGTTGGGGGCTTGATTCTGTCCTGACAGACCAAACCGGAGAAGGAATGTAATGAATAGTAGTGTGCTCCGATATTTAGCGAAAGGAACGACATAGTACCAAGCTGGCTATGTAAAAATACAAGGAGCACTGCTTAAGGGCTCAGTAACTCGAATCTTGGGCGAACTGCTTGAACAGGTGTCCCGCCCACACAATCAGCGTGGAGTGTGCTCAGATTGATTAACACGAAGCTCGTACTCTCTTTTTTTGTCATCTCGCAATAAAGAAACTCAACAGTAACGACGCCCAGAGGCAGGCCCGGCTCCGCCAATGCAACCAATGTGGGCTGTGAATACTAATTTCAACAATTCTATCCACCCGGTTGCTCACCAAAGCAGGAAAACCGTTACCGAGACCGTCTGCAAAAGAAGCGGAAAAATTCAGTACTGCCTCCATCATCAGGTGCCAGCGAAGGCCTAAAAGTGGAAAAGTTGGGCGAGTGCAATATTACAATGCGCGAGTCATCAAGCATTACAAGTCAAATATTTATTCATTATTTTTATACATTGAGAACATGCAATACAGTTAATTAAGAGATAATAGTATAATTCATAAAAAATCGAATTCTCGAACCCGCTCATAGGTTTTTCTAAATTTAATCTTCCTGCCGTTGTTCTCCTTGGAGACCGATTGGATCAATCGAGGGCCTTTCCGTACAAATGATCGTGACCACTGAAATGATCAGTATCAAATCACCTGCAAACCTGTCTTCCCTTTCACTATCGACATATGTTTATAACTCATTCATCAAATAAACAAAAATCGTAAATTTATACAATAAAAAATACAATATTATCGAACTGTCCCTGAGCCTCATATGTTGCAATATATTCCTGAGAGAATTGAGGACTCTTCAAGATACAAATAACAATAAAAATTGGAATCGTAAAAATAAAAAAAACGAGCGCACTATTTCGCAAGTACCCTTGAGGAAACGGGTGGGCAGCACATTGCTCTGATAAGGGCCCTCACATAATCGTTATCTAAATTACTTATTTGCTCATCAGTAAGCACTCCACGCCCACAGCTTACAACAGAAGGATGTCGGGTTGGAATGAGCACTCCTAACTGGACAGGTGCCAGAGGAAGTGCTTTCAGAGAGTGGTAGCAACCATATGTTGAGCACTATGTCCCAGTGGATAAGGTATTGGTCGTCAGAGAGGTGCCAAAAGTTCGGTTCTCTGACAGGCATTTCGATTCCTTTTTCGTGATTCGCCTTCAATAGGCAGTCCGTCATGCTACTCCATCGTTTCAGAGCTCAGTTTCATTTTTGGTATGTTTAAGTACTACATTGTAGTTTCCCGTACTTCCTTCCAATGTCGAATTCCCACCTAACGACTTTTCTTCAAGCATAGAATCGGCCGGGAGCGGATCAGAAATCAGTGATCGCTGTCATAGGGGTTCTTAATCATAGCGGGCCATCCTTCCTTGTTCACTAGAAATCCTCTTCAGGATCGTGCAAGGAGTCAGCTGAACAGCATGAAACTGTCGGCGACCATGATACCAGCTGCGCCGTGGTGGTGCGCTTCCATGACCCATCGACGGAGCCGATCGACTGAAAGGTGCCATAGTAGAGCAGGTTGCCATCAGTATGGGCCTGCTCACTTGGTTCTTCTTGGTGGGATGGAACTGTTTTGCCTACCCTCGGATGGAGCAAGAACGTGCACAATTCATAGCTCTGAACCAGCGAATCAAGATTGCAACTGCAGTCGTGGAGTGTGACTTTAAGCATAGGATGTCGAAACATCTGAAAAAGTTAGAAGACAAAAAGTGAAGATCGCTCAATGAACCTACCCTCTTCATTGAAAAATGGGTAGTTCCTTCAAGCGCTTTAACGTAGATCGGCGTCAAATTGAGAATCGGCCCGCTGGTATTCTCAGCGAAATTCATCGGCCCTTCTTCGATCAACGTCAATCCTACGAAGTTAAAATACAAGTTGACAGCAATTCGGTCCACTGACTCAACAATTCCAGCGTCAAGTGAACCCTAGAGATTGATTTCTGAAGGAATGTGATCAGGAACTTAGCAAAAGACAAGGATAAGGAACATAATAAAGGCTTCCCTGAACAGCTCTCAGGTGATTTACCTTGCACCCTCCAAAGCTGGTTATTACATTTGAGCTCTCTCCCAGCGTTCGACGTTCGTTGCAGCTGTGATCAAGAGATAAGCACGTTTGCCACAGTCAAGGCAGGGGGGGGGGGCTCGGCACGTCCTACCGTTGGGGAGAATTTTGACAAACTCGAGCCCCTCGAAAGTTCCTCCTTTGGAAAGGCTTACTTCCCCATCCCTCATCCTACCTACAACCTTCCCATCTACCGACTTCCTACTACTTTTTTGCATTCTTTGCTCGAAAACTTCCCTGTTTTCCTCAAGAAAAAATTGCCAAGAAATCGGTGGAGGGGTGGGGGTATAGGGCGCATAGCGCGTGCGAAGCGGGAAAACAGCAAAAACTTGACAACCGAAATTATTTTCCGCGAAGGCAAGTAGGACCCACCCCTCCAGCGACCAGATACGATCCCCCTAGCCGGGGATCCCTAATGTGCGAAGTGCCCTGTTGTCATGGCAAGCTCACCTTGATTGTTCACACTTGTTAGAGCGATCTTGATCGTGGTGTCTCCAACTGGTGGATATTGCCGAATTGTGAGGAATCCATTGTGCACATGAACATCGTCTGGATTGTCGTCGCTCACAGCGCGTGACCTTCAAATGCATGTGGACTATGTATGGGACATGGGCTCAGTTTGGGTTGGTGGGGGCATTTGTCAGGTCCCATCAATCACTGCCGTGCCTCCTGCATATGCCTGTAATTCCCTAAAGGCAGTTGGCACGATAATTTGGTACTCAGCCTAAAATGCTAGCAGGGCGCTATCTAGTGGTAAAATGGCGAAAAAACGAAGTGAAACGGTCAAAAACTGCGAAGAAAAGCCTTCGTTCTTGAGAAGCAATTTCGGACGAGTTTCCCGTAGGCGTATTGCAAATAACCGCTCCGGCAGGTACGGCTGCCTGTATGTACTACTCATATATCCATTCAGCACCGCAGCCGCTTCATACTAATCCCTTCGCTTTATGTTTTACTTAGCAAATGAAGCAAAACGAGCATCTGGTAAGGTCGTCCATTTGTGGGCGGGCGGGCGTGGCGGGCGTTTGGGTCGGAATGTTGTAGCTTGATAGGACCCTTATAAGGGTACCTCCCTCGGAAAAACCGCTATGCAGCGCCTTCAGGGTCGCGGAAATCTGCCTGCCACTCGTATCAATCCTACTCGTTTTTAGGGATTTATTGTGTCGGCTGCCTTTAAAGACACGTCCCGCGATTAGGTGTCATGAATAGTTGCTGCTCTGTTGTGCTCTGCTATGAACCAGTAGCTGATAAGTACCCCCAAAGAAGAAAAAAAGCAAGAAGAATCTCCAAGGTCACCACAAACAAAACCGCTCCCTGACAGTCACGCCACCCTGCTCTATGGGTAACCCCTGGCTCACAGATCGCTTTTTTTGCATTTTCCAGTAGCAAATATTGTTCAATGCAAAGAAAAGAATACGAAAAACAACAAAAACACCGACGGAAAACTCGTAACAAAAAGAAACTTTCAAAAACTCTGCGTACGAATTTAGGATTACGGTAGCGTGCATCTTTTAGTGCGTCGAGCTTTTGCACCAAATTGCATCACTCATGATTTTTACGCGTTTTACCTTGCGAGATGGGTTGCAGTTGACTGTATGTGCTCCCAATGAATAAAATGTATAAAGGAGAGCAGAATTATTCATGGGCACGAGCGCGGTCAGCAAAAAGGACATGCAATTCCGATTAATGCCCGCCGCCCCAACAAAGAACAACTGAGCGGCCCTGCGTCAGATGTGGAGAGGACATCTAGCAAGTGGGCGGTCCAACTGAGCGGGTGTTAGAACTAGAACTTTCGGCGGCTGTAGCACCCTCCTCGCTCGCTGTGGAGTCGCGAAAGTGGGACAGTCTCTTAGCTGGGGGCTGGACTACTTGCACAAGGAAGAACGACCACGCATTACTTGAGCGCGGGAGATGTCTTTAAAGCTATGTAGTAGCATGAGCTTCATAAAAATGGCACGGTCCGTTTTCAGAGCCCAACATACCCCTCCCCACTTTTGCACGTTTCAGGGGAGAGAGCGACTTCATGCGAAACTCACGTAAAGTTTATGCTTGGCGTTCCGAACATCACTGGTTTCGCCACAGAAAACGTTATAGTCTCACCGTATCCTGTCGCATTGAAATCCATCGGATAATCAAAAGAGCGGGAATTGAAGCCTGGAAATAAGTTTCGCTATTATGACGCTTCTCCTGTTTTTCGGACCCCGCGATTTTATCATATTTTGATTTCTGCAGGATGCATTGCATAGGAATTACATCATAAGTGGTCCTACTCTGTTGCAAACGGAGTTGTTTAGTTGCAGTAATTCCATGTAATTAATAATTATTAAGATTTAATAGGAAGGGGCGAAAGGAGTCAGCTGACGTGCCAAATACTCCTCCAAAGCCGAACAGTGCCGGACTACCTTCTCCTGCACACCAAATTTTATTACGAAAACGTAGGACAACTTGCCTTCCACTTTTGTGCGCCATTCGCCCAAAATCCATGCCAACGGTAATAATATTGGTGGCAGCCGATGAAATGACGTAACTGTAATTTTATCAACTGTGAATCTTTTTGCGGGAAATAGTGAAATCTAGTTTTGAAACAGGGAAAAAGAAATCGCCGGGCCCAGAAACAAACTTGTGTCATTCCGAGGTACGCACTTCTCGCACGATTCCGGACAGTTTAGCACGAAAAATGCAGTTTCTTCAGGGGGTATCTGAAAACCACGATAGTTTTTCAGTTACTGTAGAGTGAAGTATTCTTATTATCTGCTTATTATTTGGAAATTAAAAGTTAATTGACAGTATTTTTTAATTTGTCTGTTTGTTGTTTGTCTGACGTAGTTGGTGCTAATTTGCAATTTTTGTATAAACCTTTTTGCATAAACACTAAAAAAAATATACAGGCTCGAAATGTTCAATAAATCCGCTAATAAGTGGGCGGGATCGTCGGGGCCAGCTATACCACTATATGAAAGGCCGGCCATTCAGCAAGGTATGTGTGATGTAGTGACAGTGAAAAAGTTGTGTAACTATAACTCACGAAGTTTTGCCGACGGGGGGGCATTTGCACTTTCGTTGCTTCACTAGTTCTGGTTTACAAGTCTCACTCTGGTGAAACCTGTGAACTCTTGTGAAGCTGGAGCAAGCTCGTCAAGCCATCATGGTGAAACCTCTCAACTCGAGAAGGGGGCGTCTAGATGGATCGACAAGTCCATGGGAAGTCGTTAAAGTGCAAAATGCCCCCCCCCCGTCGCCAAACAGCGCTCTCACAAAGTATAATGTGTGTAATGTAAAGGCCAAGACCGTGGATAAATCATGCTCACGGCACAAAGGGCGGAAGGCTCTCTGGGACGGAGCTTGCGAAATACATATATGAACAGGTGTTCCCGAAAAAAAATTGGCGAAACGTATCCTATCTGAGTTCCTACCTCACATTGTCCTTCACGTTTCCACATTTTGCACGAACCATAAATGTCTTGACAAGGGCCTGAAGGAGATTATAAACTATTTATAATTAGCAAGAGTCCTCCTTCACCTTCCAAAGCTGCATATTTGCTTGAAAACTCTTTCCAAGTAAATCTGAGCTAGTGGGTGGAGTCTTAAAGTCACAATAAGGAAACCCACGATCGCAATTTTTCCCAATCCAGCCGTCCATGCATACGCATTCGTAATCATTGAATTTATCGATGCATTTCAACGAGTTCTGGCACATACTCCGTCGGCATTCATCGATTTCTGAAAGAGTTTTCATGAGCATTCATTGTGACACAGTGGGTTCTGTGATCTTCAAGTAGCCTCTTTCCGTGGGTGCTTTTCGAAGAACTAACTGTGCGTTGAGGTAGAGTTGTCATGGCTGAATTCAGTCGCCGTACGGATTTTGGCGCGGCATCAGCCCACTTTCCAACGATGCTTGCAGCTTTGAGCGTTCCCAGAGTGTGGGAAAAAGGGGACCTGTGCCAAAAATCTACGCGACCTGATCGTGACCAACACGCATAAAGATGATGCATCGTACAAATTTACGATCATCCATACCGAATGGAGTTCATGGCGGTACAACATTAAGGAGAAGTATTGTAGATGAACATGAGCTCATCTTATTTGCTGTGACATCATAACACGCCGAACCTCATGTCAGGAACTGCACACCCATTTCTATAAGGGGTCAAAAAAGCAAGGCCAGAAACCGACTGGGATAGAATGAGATGGCGTAATCTACGTGATGGCATGGTATGTAATGTTATGTAGGAAACGAATTTATTTCTCAGGAAAATCAGATCAGACCTCTTTCGCACCGTAATCCTGTAATTCCTGGATCGCATTTGCATCCGACCCTACCATCAATTCGCATTATACATGTTCCATTACCCGAGCATTGATTGGGTTCACAAGCGACTGAAAAAGTAATATTCATCCCCGAGTAACTCCATCAAAGCGTTTCTATCTTAGTTGAAGTGCTTCAGTAGGCCTGTGCAAGTACAAGAGCATGCACTTATGTTCTTAACTCCACTAAGGTTCCTTGAATTTACGAAGTGCTGAACGAATTGGAACGCAGGTAGGGCATTGTTTACCGAAGATGAAATCCGATCCGCTGCTCATCGATTCACACCCCTTTATACATCCGAAGGTTTGCAGGAATCATGACCAGATAGCGCACTTGAAACGGGAAGAATTAAAACCGGAAAATTTTTTCGCTACTCAGGAAAACATCCTCTAAGGCTGGATATATACATCTCCTCCACACCGACCAAGAAGCAACCCCGCCCTCATATGATTTTCCTGACGACGCTGTAATATTTCACGTGTACTTACTTCTTCTGTACTAATTAATTCTATAAACTTACATTGACAGTAGGTGCCGACTGTGTTCTTCTGGCACTCACATTTGTAGGTTTTGTTTGGTCCATTAACACAGGTGGCGTTATTTGCACAAGAATGATTGATACACATATCGTGCTCTGAAGCAAAGTTTTCAAAGCATACTTTCAGTAGATATTTTTGATCAAACGTATGTTATAAGACTTCTGCGCTTACCTCGCATAACCCAATAGCGCTGATTTACACGCAAGCCAAGTTCCACGGGAGCTTACATCTCGTGGATCGGACTCACGCCCAGAATAATTCCGGCGCTTTTCATCTCTCTCAGCTGGGCTAATTGGTGCTCGGCTAATCTATGAGAACGCAGACATCGATACTGGCCCTTGAAAGCCCGATTCATATACTGTATTGTACTCAGAAGACAGCAACGATCTAGTCTAGAAGAAAGGATTTTGAACGCTGTTTTCTACACTACACTTCACAGGATATGTAGCTGTCACATTCAATATTACTTTAAAGCGCATTTTCCTTTTTTCAACTTCAATCTGAAAAATCTGCATTTCACAATGGAACTCTTCTGTCCCGCATACTATCGTTCTTAATCAGTTAGTACTTGTTCACCTGCACAGTTTACTCCTGGAATCCATTGCTGGCGCAATCACAGTGAACCCAGGCTTCTCTTTGAACTCGAACAAGTATCCACCATTTTCGCCAATCGGGTTAGCTTGCCTGCAAGTTTCTGAAACGAAATTTTCTGGGATGAAGAGTTGTAGGAAACATTCAGTCACCAAAACAACGCTCCATCTAAGCGGTGACCGGTACAGGCGCCTCAGTAAATGGCTACAGGACTAGTTTCGAACGGCATTTTTCGCTTTGTCAATCTTCAGAATAATCTCTCTATAATTCACCATAACCGCTCCGCGGTGGCGTTAACACGAGGTGGTTACATTGTCTGAGTTCATTTGCACACCACAATTTTCCTGTCAAAGGCACAGTCCTTGCTGGGCGAAGTCAGAACTACTGCGCCATTCCATGATGCATACCTTCTCTTAGGAAGGAGAGGGATGCGTCAATATGGGAGGCGTGGGTCTAACTCCGCCCTACTCCCTTCTTGAACTGTGCCTCTCAACCGATTAGACGTAACCGAAATATGTAGAGTAAATGACTAGTAATATCTCACACGTGAGCTGATAAACTAATTCTTTATTGGTAACAGAAATACAATGAAAGGAATATTGAATATTTGCATATATATACGATATTGGCCTCAATGTTCAATAATATCGCTAAAAATTGTACATCAAGCACTCTATGGCTAATTTCTATGGCAATGCGATGAAGAATTTGGAAACCATTGCGACGTTTTTGATTTCTTACCGAACACTAAGCATAACATTGAATCGTCACCCAATCAAATCTCTAACGAAGAATAAATTGGTCACCCGGTCACTTCACAGAAGACTACCCGTAGATCTGGCTGGCTGAGGACACCCTTTTTTTCCTGCGGTGGACTTGAGGTTTCTCTTTGATCATTACCCTTATGCGTCAAGCGTAGCCGTGAATAACGGCAACCAACGATCTCAGTAAACTCTACGTCTGTTCTCTGGCCAACAATGACCTTAGTGCGCTTACCTTGCATGGGATGGAAGCTGATATCTTCTCCGAAAATATCGATTGCCTGAGTGATGGGGGAGAAACCGGGTTGCTAATTTTGCCGAGATTCCGCTTGTATCACTGAACGAAACTGGTCCGGGACCCATGGTAACCGCGACCTGCCGGTGAAACCAGCAATATGTCGCGGTGCCCGCATGTCTTACAGTTTTGTCCTCTACGAATGATGGTCAGCCCCTGAAACGCGCTAGCGTCTGTAGTGAAAGCGAGTGTACATTCAGCGGTCATTGCGATTATCAACGGCTGCTCTCTTTTTCGGATAAGCCAGGTAAATGTCCTGTGAATTAGAGGCAGCGCCGACGTTCATGTTCCCGCACCCTCTCTGGCCCTCCCTATGAAGATGCAGTAAGTACTAGTTTTGCATTTTCATTTTTCATGGTTTTTTTTCTGCTTTTTTTCTTCACTACTGGTTCACGTATTATATGAGCTCCATCACTGATTACTCTTGAGTCTCCTTTGGCTCAAGCCAAAGCAGTTATGGCAGCCAGGTGGGCGGGGCGGCATCCTCTTCACAAGCGGGTGGCGCCATCCTCTCGTATTTTTGAGCTGCGAAATTAGTACATCCTCCACCCTTGTCGACAAAGCTACGATATCTAAGGAGGGCGTAGGAACATCAAGTGAACAAATGAACGCGGGCGCTGCCTTTGAGGTGTCATGTTTGACTTAGCGAACATTTGAATCGCTTCTCCCCCTGACAGTTAGTCGACTGCCCGGCAACTTTGCAAATGTGGACGGGAATCGTACGATGGAGTGGAATCGACTCGACTCTCTCGAAAAGAGAATTTATGGTCAGCAACAACAAGTAATGAAGAACGTATACTTTCTGCAATTTGTCCCTTTTTTCCTCAGTAAGCTTTCTTCTTCTGTTTGGTAATAAAATTGATTTTCTCAACTAATTTCGATAATAATCGAGTAGGTTAGTTCGTGATTAGTTTGGTAATGAATCTGATCCACCATTCCCTATTAAAAGTGTATCTTTGATCATAACCTGACCGGCATGACTATAGGAGACCGTAAAATAATCACTTTCATTATTATATTGAAGAATTCTCTGAGAGAAGCTGACGGTCAGGAAGTCCACGGCGTTGAGCTAGTGCCCATTTGTTTCAACGCAGAGCACCGGATTAGCCGTGTGAGGCCGCTTGCCACACTGCTTTCGCCGCGACGTCGCATTGTGGATCTCCTGACAGCCAATCCTTCGAGTGTGCGGTTTCCTAATGACTCTGAAAACCTATCATGGGCCCATACGGTACCTCAGTAGTCCGGTCAGATTATAGTCAATCATCTCGCTGTATCTTTGTTAGATGAACTTAATTGGTTGACGATATCAAATTCTGCTCGTTGTTAATAAGAAGTATTACAAATACTGTTAAAAACCGAAAAATCATCGGTAGCTGGCTCCAATCTCCCCATCTCTCTATAACTATGACGAAATCGGACTAAAATGTAGTGGAAACAGTAATCAATTTTCCGTGACTACCTAAAGTGTTAGCATATCGTATTCGGTAACAAATAAGAATAGTTAGAACATTCTAGGATAAGGAATGGAATGGGATTTCAACGGCAGGTTTCGGAATGCAGATTTCTAAGAGCAGAATACTAACAAATATAGGCGCTATTCGACTTGGAGGGGACATTAGGCAATTTCACTAGCTGTGAACTCCGGGATGCTGCAAAATGGAGCAAGCGAGTCATTTTGGTCCAGGAATTCACAGGTTTTCACAAGGTGGCGTGCACAAACTTCGCCAAGTACCATTTGGCAAATCCTCCTCCAAACCGAACAGTGCCCGAAATATCCCTCAAAACGGGAGCTCAACAACGGTCGAAAGCGAATAGGAATCGGAACAATGGATGGCTAGATTGACCTACGAGGTAAACCGGTGAAGACGTATTCGAAGGCACAGTCTGCGCTCATCAAATCAGGCCTATTAGTGTATGGGCCTTCCTCCTTCCATCATCAGAAGACAGCGGGTGGTTACCAATGAGAGGAAGTGATGAGCCTGGCCCCGCCCATACAGTCAGCGTGGACTGCGCCTTCGGAGTTTTCAGCTATCACCTACTGTTTGGATATCACAATGAAAGGTTTTGGGCACTTTATACCTTCGGATACCACACTTTTAGTAGCAACTCAGGCTTGATTTGTCTTGAAATCGGTTCCGGGCTGATTTGATTGGAAATTTGATCTCTGAATGTCCAAGTAACAGGAACTTCATAGGTGTTTTACCCGGAAAATGTGGTACATTGGCGCTGGCACCAGCGACTTCCCTCTTCAGACAGATGTGATGCCCTTCAGGACACGAAGTGCCAACTAGCTGAATTTCTTGCTGAAACCCGAGGGCAAATTCCGATGAAAACCAAGCCTGCGTCCTCAAAGGAGGGACAGGTAAAAGGCGAGTGAAGATGGTTTGCGTATCTTTGTTCTGATATTACTTACCCATGGTAATGCGTCGGCTACTCAGTAATTGCGAGCGGCCCAACCGGATAAAAAAGATGGGAAGCAAGTCCAGTAAGAACGGTAAAGCGACAAAAAAAAGAAATTTAGGGCTATTTTCAAGATCGTTTGTCACCCTCAGGATCCGTTTCGGTATCGACAAAGTCGTGTTGCCTCAACTGCGCATGTGAGTTGAGGAATTTCAAGTCGTCTTCCCGTAAATTGTCTTCCTTTGCAGGTGAATATTTCTTGAATACTCGCCGAGTCGCTTCAGTAATGTTGGCTTCATCCGATTCCGGTATTGTACTTGTGATCTAAAAATTCCTCGTAATACAGTAAGCAATGGAATTCTCACTCTACCCATCACACAGTACCCTACCCGGCCCGATGTTCTGAATGAGAAAGGCTCTTTCTTCTTGCAGTCCAGATGAAAAGTCTTACTGACTCAAAGCTAACTTACTATTTCCAATTGTGAGATCAAAGTTGAGTTGGCATCGTTTGACTCTTGGATTGAAAGTGGCACTGTTACCTGGAAAAATCCTACTTTCATTGGTCTCTGAGACTTTTCTCTAACTAGCTTGGACACAAACAGGGCACGTCGTTGTTGGGGACCCACAATTAGGGAGGGGTTCGTAACTGGTCGCTGGGAGAGGGGTGGTACTTCGGCCGAGAAAAATTTTTTGTTATTTTTCTTGTTTCGAGAACGTTGTAGAGGGAGAGTCGTATCTGGTTGTGTTTTGCCCCCACCCCTGGTCGATGAGGAGGTAACCGGGACGGGGGGAGGGTCGCGTAGACTCGAGCAAAATCCCCAACCTTTGATGTTCCCTGGGAGCAAATGCGGTAGAATACAGAACGAGGTTACATACATACCTGCGTTGCGGATATGATATCTACTATCCCGGCAGTAATTATCTGAAATGTTTCCGTTTTGCTGATAGTAGTTTCGTGAAAATTAATAGTAATTATAGTAGAAGGGGAACTCTCTCTCATGTCACGACATTCTCACAACAAATGGCTTCTAAGCGACAAGCTTCTACCGATAACAAAGCAAAATCAGTCGCAATGTTCGAGTCTTGTTCGCTGCGGGAGATGGGACGTGTCAGGGGGCTGGGCTTGGCGCGCCGTCCAGCACATTTTTCACCAATTATTGGAGCGGATAAGCAACAACAAGTGGAAAATGACTGACACGACAATATGATGCAGTGTTATGCTTCTCAAAAGAAAAAAAGAACACTGGTGCCGCGCCATTCCAACCCCCTGACACGCCCCGTCATGATGTGAACAAGAATGTATTGCCCTTTTGTCTAATGCTTTAGTGTTTCTCGCCTATATAGTAGGAAAGGTACATATGAGACCAACCTCTACTGGATGTAGACGTTGGGTAGTTGCTGGGCTCTGAAAGTTGAAATGTATAAGTTAGATAGAAATACAAATAGGAACTCCCTTTACAGTGCAAAATAAACAAAATCCGAGATGATGTCGTGCTCACGGCGCTCCTATTTCCCCGTCATATCATACTTTTTACAAACTATCTGCTGCTACCACGGCAGGTTTATGTTGGGGATCCCCAGCGAGAGGGTGGGGAGTGCATCGCCGGGGGAGGGGACTGGAAGGGTGGTAATTGTTCTTGGAAAAAATGCTTCCGGTTTTGACTTTTTTCGGTTTCCCCATGCTATATGTGCTGTATACACACCCTTGAACCCCATCGCTCGACGGCTATTTTTTTTGGGAAAACTTGAGATCCTAGAGAACTTTCGGAAAAAGCTCCGGAGAAGTGGTAAGAAGTTTAGGAGAATGCTTTGACAGGGCTGTGAGGCGTGCTTGGCAACATTCCCACCCCCCTCCAACGACAGGATGAGCGTCATGAATTTCGTGACACACACGCAGAAGGGCATAGTTAGCTCACTTATACATAGTCAGACGAGTAAATCAAACCCTCCCTGAGCATAGTGACTTATGCGTTCCCTAACTCCAGCAATAATTGCTTGCCGTTCCCTCTTGAGACATAATTTCTATCACTTTCGCCGCCTTCGTGGGCATTCCTTTCTTCGACTCAAGACTCTCGAAACGGAAGGAAATGAGAAACCAGTTTTCACCTCTGAGGTGGTTGTTTCCGGAGAAACAGCTGTTTCTTCCGGGCCTGTGATGGTTGAAGGAACTGTGGTAGTCGAAGGAACAGTGGAAGCGGTTGAGACAATGATGTTACTGACGTCGTTGTTCAACGCAATCAAGGATTCACCGGATTTCATCTGAAACCGTAAATTGGGATTTTCGGCAACTATTTTGAATGCAGCAGTGATTCGCAATGCAGAAGCTGTCCGCCCCAAACGTTAAGAAGAAGAAAACAATAGTAAGATAATCCTGGCAGGATCTCTGCAAGAATTATTCATAACAGACTGTTTCCAGCTTAGTTCGGCGCAAGGGAGAGGAGAGATTGAGAATACATTGTGAGCCCCTGCAAACAGCTGAAAACGACGTTGGCTGATCTGACCCGCAGCGCTTTTACCCTAGGTTCAGGATAATCCTCATCCTCTGGCTCAGCGTGTCTCAAGCGTGTCCCCTTACCTTCCTGCACTAACTGCTATCCGACCCAAGGAAACACAGAGAAAAAGGTTCTCCAACCAGTTTCGTAGCTCTACTGGGGTTTACTGATCTTCATAAAGATCTGGTGTGCTCATTTGGAGAAAGGAAATGCTCTGCTCCCAGCTCCTTCTCCCAGAAAACAACTTCGCTCTGTTCCATCACGGTGATGGAGTTTCTCAAAGTTCACATCAACGGAGCCAGGTGCCTTTTTGAGTCTCTGGGCACTGTTAACCTCTACTGCCTCATTCTTCTGAATTCAGACCACATTTGGCTGAAATTTCTTTCCTCAGGTGGATCTGGTAAAGACTTTGACTTCAAAGGCAATTAATTTCGCGAACATCAACATCGTATCCCTTTCGAGAGACAGCGCTTGTGTCCGCTCCATGCGGGTCAACGCCACAGAAAGTTTTTGGAGAGGACGCACGTACTTGGCTTATTCACGAAAATCCTAAGTGACACTTGCGTTCAAGTCACAATACTCTTAAAGGCTAATTTTCGATTTTTGTACTTTGAGGTGTTTCGGAGCCGACGTCGTAGGTGCGGAGCGGACGGCTTTCAGGCAAGCCAACGTGATTTCAATAGTGCTAAACTGCCAATGCGAGCACATTTCTAGCCAAACTTCCCATGGAGGAAAACATGGATCAAAACTTGACCTCATTTTCAAAGGGTGGGCAGAAAAGCGAAAATAGTGAAAAGCTTGGGGAAAAACCTCTTCACTATGTATATGTGCAGGGAAAGTGCAAAGAAAAATACACTTGGCGAAAGACGCTCCATTAGAGAAACGTATTTTCATCTTCTCTCCATTGTAGGAGTTTTACTGTGTCGGAAAAGGTTTCTCGAAATATTTCTGTTTTTATTGCCTGAGTCGTCGAATGTCGTTTCCAAGGAGTTGAAATGGCAGTATTTAGAAGTTGTTTAAGCGTTACAACTAGTTGTTGGAATACTAAAACTACTGCTCTCTTTAAAGACACATTCCACGAAAACTTTCGTACTGCGATCGCTTAGGACTGATAAAATGTTGATAGCGGGGGAAGAGAAAGCAAAAATTAGGACGGAAACGCGACAAGAAATAAGATTCACGTGGCTCCCGGGAAGAACCCGTTCCCTGGACCAAAACCACTTGCTTTGCTATTCGGTTAGTCGCATATTTCGTATCGCCAATAGTTTCTTGTTCAATTTAGCTAGAAGTGATGCCTAAGTGTGATCGGTAGATATTATATTGTATATATTGTAGGCCTGAAGAAGGGCTTAAGGCCCGAAACGTTGCTAAATATTAGGGTGTCCATAAAGTTCGTTGGCCATTTGTAAACAGCGTCGCGTTACGCAACGCCTTGTGATTTTGCATAATGATTTCGCAATACTGAAAGTACTTTTCGACAGTAAAGGAGAAGAGATTTCGACATCAAGATGTTGTTTACCCGACAACATCCAGTGAGGACGTCTAGATTTCGTAACGTCCTCACGTGATTGATCGGATCAATATCACGTGGGAGGACATCGATGTTTACGATGTCCTCACATGGGTCTCCAGTCCAGGTTTTACTGCGTCAACGAGTTGACTCCCACCCACCCTACCCGTAGTTATTTCAGGACCACTATGGAAAGAAGCAGGCGACCTATATCAAACGGCGATAGAATGCAACCTACCAGATATTGGAGAAGCAATCAGAATCTGTATCAATAGTCACCGATCGAATGCTACGTTCACGGCGTATTCTCATGTGTGCCAGAAATTTATTCACTGGGTGGGAGCGCAAACACCTTCAAGAAATGTGCCTTCGAAAGCTCGAAACCTTTTTCTTGGCGCATTTTGTTGATAAACAACAGTCAGCAAATCTCGCTGACCAATCATGATCGGACAGCGCTTGCTTCTTTTTTCGGGAAAACAAAAAAGAAGCAGATAAAAGAAATGGAGAAGACAACTTACTTAGAAGCGCGGCGAGCAAGTAGACGCCGGGAAGCCATACGAACTAAGATCACTACCGGAAGATTACTCAATGCGCCATTATTCACCTAGGGGCGATAATTCCAAAGATCCAAGCGCTTCGACAGCGGCGCTGGCCATACTTCTTTTTAGAGGTCTTTTGAGATTCAGTGAAGCTCGTAACTTGAAGAAAAAAGAACTCACACATACCGACAATGTTTGCTCTATGTTCATATCGGGAAAAAAATCCAAAGACCAAACTCGACGCCGGAGCTACGGTGTCTTTCAAGATTGGGTGCGCGATCAGAGAGGCAACGCTGTTTCTTAAGATAAAGCATATTTAGCATTACACAGACGGCGAATCATTGAGCTACTTACTTGTTCGCTTCTCAGTCCACTAAGTTACCTTTGAGCGCTTCCACTATCTCAAAAAGGTTACAGCAGTTATTCTTGATTGCAGGCATTAGTCATAAAAACTATACCACGCATAGTTTCAGAGGGGGTGCAGCATCTACGGCCTTAGAGCAGGGATTTGATAGTTCTCAGGTTATGCAGATGGGAATGCGATTGCCGAAGTCCAATAAAGCTTTTCAGGCCTACGTTCGTCCTGCCATAATCGATCTGAATCTATCTTAATCACTTTATGCAGTACTGTAACAGGGGGGTTAAAATGATGTAAAACCATATGTAATCGTCACTATGATTAACCATCCTACCTGTAGCAGCAGTGCCCTTAAGTCACGACCATTATTAATCACCATATGTTAGCGATTACCATATAACCAGCAGTATTGTCACATAACACACATTATTCGCCGGTCCATGTATGCACATGTTACTCGTTAAGCAATGTATGTATAACAATACGATGATCATGATATGCGAGCACTATGTATCAAATGCAATTACGCCGCCTCATACTCGACTGACAATAAACCTTACACCGGTCCACCTACGCTCTTCTCCTGTGGTCGAAAAACTATTTATGTCAGATGGCGTAGAAACGGAGACATAAATTTCGCTTTCCTTGCTCTTCCCATTAATAAAGCAGGTGAAGATGAGTGTGATAGTCACCACCACCGCCGATGTTTGCTGGACTACTACAACCTGGGCATCTCCAGACGTCAGGCCACGACCAGGATGCGTCAGCAGTTTGGTGATAACACCCTTCTGGAGAACTTGACAAAATGGTGGACTCGCTTCACCAATGGAAACTACGGCCATCGAAGATGCCTTCTGTCATTCTGGTTCTCTCGCCACGGCGTCGTCCACTACAGCATCCTACCCAACAATGCCACAGTAACGGCAGAGACCCTCTCTAAGAATTGCAGGAGAGGCGTCAAGGTGAAAATGCTGGCCGCCTTGTCCAGAAACTTGCAAATCCGTGTTAGGCTTCTGCGGACCAAACGCGCACCCCCACAAAAAGCGAGAAGATACTCAGGCCGTCCTGCAACAGGTCGTGGGCTTCAAGACTAGGTCCACGCATCCACCGTATAGCCCGGACATCAGTCCATGCGATTACCACATCTTCCGGTCCATGCAAAATTTCTTGGACGGAAAACAGCTGAAGAACGAGCGCGACCTCGAGGACGTGATCGAGGACTGGGCCGAGTCGCGGCCGGCCGGCTTTTGGGAGGATGGAGTTGCCTCTCTACCCCGATCGTTCGTCGAAGGTGGTAGGTATGCATGGAGATTATATCATGGACCGGTAAGTTCAACTTGGTGAGTTATCTTTACAAGCTCTGAAAAAACGAATGGCCAACGAACTTTATGGACACCCTAATAAATATCTTGAAGAGTTTCATTCAACAAGAAAACACAGAAGATATTAAACCATGAAACTCAGGAATCCTATGATACTACAAATAAGGTAAAAAAGCAAAAAAAGTAGTGACTGAGTGCCTTGACGAGAGGCTTTGATGATTTTGAGACCCACAAACAAGAGCAGAGTCAAGTGAACTACCTGATTCATCGCATTCTCTTCGGCGGCTTCGATTTCCTCGAAAATTTTTGGGTCGAAAGGCTCGGAAGTGGCTAGCTCTTCTGGTGAAAACGTCGATGCTTCTTCCTCGGGACTCAGAGTTGGTTCTAAATAAAGGCTACCCCGAAAAGGAGGAAATCTTTACCGAACTGATGAGAGAATCAAATGAGGTTCCAGCTTACCTGGCCGACCGGGTGAAACTTCTATCTTAAAAAGCGACTCAACCACGGGGACGTCTTTTGCCCACCTGGGACGTATAAGTCCAGCTCGAGGTCGCCACCGTTCCCAATATAGCTCGTCCTCTGCAGCCACCGTGAGCCTTATGGTCATTTCATTATCACACACTTGAATTCCAAGGCAACACTGCTTTGGGTAGTGATACTTAGAGACACAGTCCACGCTTTTCGTATGGGTGGAGGCAGAGGATATTCTTTGTCGCTGGCAAACTCCACTTCTGAGGTAAAGGCACAGCAATGGCAAGTACAGAAAGCCGCGCCGTCTCCTCCCACGCGACGAACGTGTACTGCGCCTTCAAGCAGCCTTCCTAATTGTGTTACTGAGCTTACAGGAATTGTACAGCTCCAACGTCACGATCAGTCGTCCAGAGCACTTCGATGAGAAACTTCTTCCTGTTATCCGAATGAGTTATGGAATCATTTGACATTGAATCATCGCAGTACTGGTATCGAATGCCTGAAAGTAAGGCAGCGTGTCAGGCTATGGAGGGGTCTGCTTTTGAAAGAGTTCAATCACGGCTCAATTTCTGTTGAGACCAAGTCCCCCCTCGTCCAAATTCAACTTCCTTATAGGATCCTCCTAATGATGTAGCACTCTGAAAGAAGTGGTTCTACACAGAACTGATCTGGCAAGCCGGAAAAACGAATGGAAAATTTCCTAGAGGGGTCATCAAAGAAATTTCAACAAAGCGGTCAATCCATTAATCATGCTTCACTCACCGAACACCTCTTCGCCGTCGCCAACGATGAATCGGCCACCTCGTAGAGAGCCTAAAAATGAATTTTCCGAAGATTATCAATGGGCTACTGTCTTTATTGAGTACCAAAATACCTATAATGAATCCATCTGGAGTGCATAATCGTGATTGCAGCATAAATCCTCGAAAATGAATGTAGCCAACTAGCCGAACTGAAACAATTCCTTCATCGAGACTAGAAGCTTCGGAGCGGTTCTAGAAGAACTCTGAAGAGCTATACAACTTCAAAATTATAACCAGAATTCCTTGTAGTACCCATCCGGTCACAGCCTTTGATGGCTCGATTAGGTTTTTTGTAGGAAATTTGACGACGTTCAGGTTCCATTATTTGCAGTATAGACTTAACCCTGAGCTAGCTGCCAGTCACTCTGAGCTTTTTGTAAAGCAGAGCTCAGAATTGTAATAAAGTTAATTCCAGTGTGACGTAGCAATTATCTCAACTCGTCACTCATTTCTGTAAGCGCTACTATGGCTACCTTACAATTAGGTAGTACCGGTTTGCCGTACACTGACACGCATTAGGTTCACTGCCGATTTTTTCCTTTTTATTTCACTGTTACTTCCCCTTTTTGTGGTCTTCTTCTTGCATTCTCACTGTGGAGACTAGTTCATCAGCTTGTTTATTCGTCTGTTTACTTGATACGCCTAAATCCAAATACATGCCTATTCTCGAGGAAAAGGAGTCAAAGGTAATGTTCGGCGGCGGGCAGGGGCATTTTGCACTTTTGCTACTTCCCATCGACGTGCCGTGACCCATCTAGAGGCCTGCTCGTAGGCTGACAGATTTCACAGTTGTGGCTCGATGAGCTTGTTTCAACTCCCCCGGAGTTCACAGGCTTCATCAGGTAAAGTACGCAAACCAGAACAAGTGAAGCAATAAAAGTGAAAAATGCACCCCCTCCTTCCCCCTCCCCCGTTGCCGAAGTGCGCCGGTAATGTCCCAAGCAGAGCGGATACCGTAGCAAATGCAAGATGCATTCGGTTTAATGGGAGCACCAAACTGCACTATTCGAATCGAAGCGGATCTCATACAGGCCATCTTGTGAAAAACTTTGAATTTTCGTAGTTAAAGTGAACCGCTTCTGCCATTTCTTACCTTACAAGACTTTTCAGGGCTTGCATATGTTCTCCAACCTTTAGTATCCTAAGCTTCAAATTCCATGCGCTTTCGAGCGATAAAAGTGGCACACTTTTACAAGTTCAGGTCTGTCCACCTCGCACATAGCAAGGATATGTCGTGTAGAAGCAGGCGTTTTCATAGCAGCTAGGGAGCTGAGTTTGGCAAGGCGCCAGCCCCATCCCCGCTAATCGTCGTAGCAGAAAAGGGAAAATAATTGGTGGAAAGCGAAAAGCTATTATAAAAAAAGCAGTTATCATTTCGGTGATGGACTCTCCTGCTAGTTAGTAATCTAAAGGCATATGGCACGATAATTTAGTACTCGGTCCAAAATGCTAGAAGATTGCTATATAGTGGGGGATAAATGGCGAAAAGAGTGAAAGTGGTCGACCTGAGAAGCTAATTCTCTACCCTTCATGACTAAGAAAGCAATTTTGGACGAGTTTTCTATAGGCATCGTGGCAATGACCGCTACAGTAGCACGGATGTTACACATACATCCATGCAGCACCGCTGCCGCTTCATGTCAATCCCTTCGCTTCATATTTTACTTCGCAAGTAAAGCAGTACGAGCATCCACATCGATAGTACATTTGTGGGCGTCCGTGCAAGGCGTGTTGCAGCTTGATAGGGCCTTGTGGAGGTGTCCCTTTCTTGGGAAAGACGCTACGCAGCACCTACTCAGATGCGCTGAATTCCATCCTGCAAGGCGCATTAATCGCCTTCAAGGGTTTGGACGAATAAAGGAAAAGGGCAACATATTTACGAAGGCCGTTAACTTCTTCGAAGTATCCAAAGAGCATATTCAAGATGCCGAAGGACTTCTTCTTAACCCCATAAATGTAGTAGTTATAGTATTTTATGAACATGTTCAGATGGTTGCATCGTTGCTGCTTCTACGAGGGCTGCTGCAGAAGCAATCATCATAATTTTTTTGTGAGGTGGAACGCCAAGCATTTCCTGTGCAATAAATCTGGATGTTTGGTGTCAGATCTGCCATTTGGCACGTGCTTCGCTTCTGCATATGACGGCTTAGTGGAACAGGAAAAGGTCATAAGTCATTCAGTAAGAGGGATCGGAAGGCAGAAACATAACGATTATGGTTTAGGTTGTTGAGGTCATTGCTCTTCGATAACGGCGAGTTAAAGATTGGCATTTCCGGTACAACCAAACTGCCTACATTCTTGCTACTAGGCCCATAAGAAAGTGATTCTACTGGGTAGTAAATGCGCCCGAGCTGTGATAAATCATTTCCGCTGCGGCTCTGCCACTTTATAGCTGAGATGGTTTGTTTTTACTCAAGAACTCGTTCTGAGATTGGCCCAGAAGAACTATCTTCGTCCTAAGTAAGGTGGAGGGGGCCACAGCCACGGAGAACGTGCCGGTTTCACGATTCCAAGGTTCCTTAAGTAATAAGCGGGCAAGTGATGTTGGGTTACGCACTTACAGGTCTTAAACGTAGCTTTTGCAAGTCTCGCTGAATACCATTTGGTGCCCCCACCAAGCCGAACTGCGCCAAAAATTCTGTTGCAACTTTTTTTTAAACTAGAGGGTCTGTTTTCTGGATTAAATTATCCACTTCCATTCAATAATCGTAATGCGAATTGTGGCCTATTAAATGAACTTGCGGAGGAGCCGATGTACAATAGTGTTTTTATCCTCCCGCGGTACGAATATGCTATCATTTACTGTCCCAAAGGGGGGGGGGGTGTGTAAGGCTTGGGTTGGCCTAGGCGGAAGTCGACCCGGGATTTGAATCCAGGAACGCGCGAAAGGTAGGCGCTCCACCGCTCACTACACCACCTCCGCCTACAGTCATAACTAGGTTAAAAAATTTATCGATTTGGTAGCCTGGGGCCATCTTCTAGTTAAAGGTCAATAGTCTGTAACTGTAGTCGTTATCGCTGCAGACGTCGGGGCGTGTCAGAGTGGTTGCGTTTAGCGCGGCGAACCCGTTTTCCACCCATTGTTGTATCACGATCACTTCAACAAATGGTGGAGAACGGACTGGCGCTGCACCAAACCAATCCCGTGATGAGTCCCAGCGTCTCAATCGAAAACAGCTGTGGGTAGATGCAAATGAATCATACCTCTGTACGTTTCTCCTGGCTCGTAGACCTCAACCGCGTTGCCTTCTTCGTCAGATATCGAAAATTCGAAGGGAGGAATCGTCATGTGGGGTGAACCATGGAGTGCTCGGTCCAACCGCATTGAATTTGCATTCTTACAGTGAAACCCACTCGTTTCCATCAAATCGCATTCGGCTACATAGATCAAATAGGCAAAGACTATCCACAGTCTCCGCGGCATCCTTTAACAGAATGTCATTAAAAGAGGTTCAAGGAGACCTCTGCGGCTCAAATAATACATAATAACATAAAGGTAATTCGCTTGAACATTATGGGAAACCAAGGTGTTCAAGGTCGAAAAGGAGTTTATACGAAAACTCCAGAGAAAAATGCTCCAGAGAAAAATGAACAGAAACAACGGTGATATGCCTGAAGAGTTCAAAAACCAGCAATGGTAGAATACAGTAAGTGATTGATGAGGGTCACCTGCACCTACGCCTATGGGAAGATGCATGAAGAGACTACTAGGTTATAAAAAGATCAGTCTCACTGGAAAGGTCACACCACAGGAAGCAAATTTAGGCACCTTTTTCATTATTGAAGATTACTTCAGAAGTATTAGCTCCGGGTCATCTTCCTGTGCGATGTAGAATTTACTGGTATGCGCTGGAGCAAAATGTTTCTGTCCCACCTCCCCTGACCCCGCCCACCTCTATGAATCCGGTGTTTGCCAAGTTTGGAATTTAACAAGATTTCGGAACGTCAACGAGTCGCTTGCGAAGGCAGTAAATTTCAAGGCTGTCATGGAGTTTCGGGGATTGCAACAGATGATTTCCAAGTCTCGCCGCCTGAACGAGGACTGAATGAAGAGAAGAGCTTTCACAAAACTGATGATAGTACCCAGTGTGATTCCAAGCACTTCTGAAAAAATTCCAGCCATAGTCTTTTTAACATTTTGGCGCCTTTTAGCCAAGGGAGGCATTCTGCACTTCGCGTGCTAGCCGTCAACCTTGTCGAACCATTGAGTGGAGACCTGTGAAATCTTCAGAAGCCCTGAAGTGATACTAGCCACTAGAGACCACCTTGAATCCAACCCTCTTAAGACGGTACCAGTCAACTCCAGTACAGTGGGAGGTAGCGGAAGTGCGAAACGTCCTCCCTCTCCCCCTCTTTCCCGCAAACCGAGCTGCTTTTTGTTCATCAAGATGACGAAGTATGGGCAAACATTCGGACTACTTCGAATTGAGGTACTAGGCAAGTCCCTCACACTTCCGGGTGGGACTAACGTTTATCCAGCGGTTACATCATGGGGATAGTGCGAAATGTCGGTGAGAGCTACTGGACCGCCCCCCCCTCCTGCATGGGGTTTACGGCCAGGACTCGCTCCCCTATTTTTTCGCGTAGCGTACGACCCCCCCCCACCACTTCGACACCTTCCTTCGCCAATCGCCGAGCCATAAAGTAATATAGTCGTGTCGGAATAAGTTGTCGTAGCGGATCGCGGATATACAATAACTGTGCCAACAGTATATCTCCGGCGGGTGTACAGGGATGCATATAAAACAAAAATTAATACGACCCCCCACTTTTCCACAAGATAAAATCAACTATCAAAATAAATTTGTCTCCAACAAATACGACCCCCTCCCCCAAGCAAAAGTACGACCCCCCCCCTTGTGTTTCACCACAACGGTTGCTGGCCCTGACGTATTCAGTGACGCCCAGGCGGCCGACGGGCTCGAATCAGCGGCTCCTGTGGTTCCTTCGCATCTTGTTTTTTCCCAACCAAAGTTGAATTTTTGTTCCCTTCCCGATTTCCAAAACTTTCCGGATCTTTTCAGTCGGCGGCTCTGCTGAAGAATCACTGATAGCACGTTCCCTTCGGATTCGGAAATTTTGAGGTGAAAGGATGGTCATGCTACTTTATTGCT